GATCCAATTATGGTTTTCATAAAGTACAAATATGTATGTATGTGTTTAATTTTCATTTTGATTCAGTCTTCTATGGAAAATTTTAATTAACATTTGAAAATGTTTTTGTTACCAGAGAATTGCATGGGTGGAATTTCTCTGATGCTGGTGGGATTGGGGTTCTTGTGATATCTTGAGAAAAGGAATTTTCTAAGACTCGCATGGGAGAATGAGAGGTGGTAGAAAGGTTTATTTGCATGAAATTACATCCCTTGGTTTCCAAAGTCCCATTTCCCTTAAACCAGTCCAGGAAAATGTGCAGCTGGGGCTCCAGTAGAGCTAGAAGCAAAGCCATTTTCCAAAGTTTCTGTTCTGTGGTCCATTTGAGTCTGATGTAGCATCAGGCTAAATGTAGTTCATCATTAGTCCATTGTGTGTGGGGTCCACATGACTGTGGGCCTTGTGGGCTAGTGCTCAATGTGAGAGTACACCCCCTACAATGAGTCCCAAGGGAGCCCGAGGGCCAAGAGAAAAGGGGGGGAACTTCCTTTGTTCAGGAGTTTAAATATCAGATCTTCCCACGCCTGCAGTGGCCACACCTATTCTGGCCAGTGGCTTGTTCTCACGTGTGACTGACATACAAGCACCTTCCCAAGTCACCCAGACCTTACTGGGCACGCATCTATTGTCCAGTCCCCATGTGCGGGAAACAGACCTGGAGGGGGCTAAACTGCAGCTTCCTGGCAAAGTTGTACAAATGGCACGCTTATGTTATCTGGCCTTCCCTTCGCTCCTTTCCTGTTAATTAATTAATAACTGGGTTAATTATAACGGTATCAGTTTGAGGTACAGAAAATTGCGCGATTCTTTTTGATTCTCAACTCATGGTTTCCCATCTCTAACTGGCAGGGAGGGGAGTATAAATTCTCCTTGGTTTGTCTGTTACACATCAGTCACAATATGTGTAAGTAAAATCTTTTGGGGGCTGTATTAAAAATGAGATGGAATGAGTCTTTTTTTGCACTTGACAGATTTGGATTTTAAGGACACTATGATGTATCCTGAGCCAACATTTTTGCTTTTAGGTTGTTTTGGCCTTAACATACGAAGCTTCTTTACATAACAAGTAGTTAACCAAAAGTGGCATGGTTGGTTTTCAGATTGCAAGTAACATTGACTGTCTCGATTGTCGTAAGTAATGGGGTCTCACTGTAAATACACAGAAAAAGAAGGGAAAGAGGCGTCTAGGGCCTCGTGGGAACTCTGTCATGGCAACGGAACCAGAAGTCACACAAAGATGACTACAGACACACGTCGGGGCTAGATGGCAATCACAATGTAATTTGAGAACTAGACGATTTATATTCCCCAAGATTCAGTTCTAGCTTTAGGGAGCCGTCATGCGGCCCCCTCAGTGGCAGAAGCTCATGGAGCCCTGCTGCAGCGCTCTGCTGGTATTATGCCTCAGCTGCTGGTGCGGTCTCTTCTAGAAAGCCGTCCTTAGTCACCTTCTCGGTACCTCTTCTTTGTGTTCCCACAGTGTCCACTGGGTCGTGCTGTATTTATCACATTGCATTATAATCCTCTTTTTCTTGTCAGACGGCTGTATTAGACTGGGAAATCACGCCCGCCTTGGTCATCTCTGTTCCCATCTCCTGGCTTGTCTCTGTGTCTTTAGCCTTTGCTCCCCGTGTCAGTTGCTTTTAATTGACTTTCTTTTTAGGATCCAAAATGTTCTCACAGGGAGACTTAGATTTGTTCCTTTAGCGAGCCTCTTCTCTGTGAGGTGGAGCTTTTGTGCCAGGTTAGTTTGCAGTCTGCTGATACACAGAGGCGGCCCTGACCCAGCAGCCGAGCCAGATGGGTGAGGGCGGCCCCAGCGTAGCGATTTGTGTCGAGTCCGTCGGGGGGTTTAGAGGGGCCCTTCTGAGACTCGGGCTGTGCCCTACAAGAGATGGCAGCTTACGCTCCCAGAGCCTGGTGAATGATTACATGCATGTGCAGCCTCAGCGGTTGTCATCCAGCCGCTCCCTTATGAACTACTTTCCTTTAGATTAAAGAGCTCGTGTTCCTTTTGGGAAGAATCAGGAGCTCAGGAGAGACCACAAGATGGAGGCGCAGGTAACATCAAAATTACAGCTAAAATACAGAACAACTATCAGGCAGAGCCTCCTGACAGAACGAGCTGAACAGAAGCCCCACAACCGGGGAACTGAGGAAGCCCTGAGACCGCAGGAGGGGCGGAGACGCGGGCGGGTCGGGGCTGAATCCCGGAGACACGGCCGCGCGCCCACACCCGGGGCCGCGGGGTAAACCCAGGACAGATATCTTGGTGGAAGTTTCCCGGAGGAGTGAGGGGTCCCAGCCCCACAGCAGGCCCCCAGCCCAGGGCTCCAGGCCGGGAAGAGACGTCCCCACACCTTCGGGCTGTGAAACCGGCGGGGACTGTCCCTGAGGGTCGCGGAGGCTGCGGGAGCTCCTGCAGCTCCTCCTAAAGGGCCCGGCACGGACTCACTCGGACGCTCCCTCTGAGCCCAGCGCCGGGCAGCAGCCTGAAAGGAACCTGGGACCCTCGGGGAGGAACTAACCTGCCTGGAATTGGGGCGAGAGGTGGAGGGGTGGTTTTCTCCGTTACAGAAGAGCTGGCAGAAGCTTTTGCTCCTTTGATGAGCCCTGCCCCCACAGAGCTGGCTGGCAGGCGCCTTCTCTGAATCTCCATCAACCTGACTCACATGTTTCACCCTGCCCTGATGATTGCCCAAGACTCTGTCCTTCCCCATTTGCAAGCTCATCCAAAACTATTTCCATGCAAATAGTCTCTCTGCTTTTCTATGCAAGTGGCTTCTCTAGCCTCATGCTTAGGACTTTCTTAAAATCTCTCAAACAAGCAGAAGCGGACCTCATACGGCTTGATAAGTGGCCCCAGGCCTGGCACTAGCGACAGCCTGCATTGGCTCGTAGCTTGGCCTCTCCTGGACACCTCCCAGCCCAGCACAAGTAGCGGCCAACTACGGTTTGCTGTGTAGCTCATGCTGGGGGGCCCTGGGCAGGGCACAGGCAGAGGCTGAGTTTGCACCTCCCGGGAGGCCCCAGAGACAGTGCACCCAGCTTCGACCACGCTGGATTACAACCCTACACATCCACGAGTGACGCACTCAGGGGTGCACTTGGTGAACCAAAGCTCCACTGAAGTAAATCCTGCTCCATAGGGGTGTCTCCAGCACAGCAGCCCTTTGGCTGTAGTTGCAGCTGGTCCTCACAGCTGATTGGCCTGGGGGTCAGTTCTTTCCAATGATGCCAACAGCAACCAAGGCTCAACTACAACAGGACAGTGCACATGAGGGAGCATCTAGAAGGCCCAGCTCAGGTGACAGGAGGCTGAACCATTGGTAACAAGAACCAATTGCTGAGAAAGGGCACAGTCATGTATGGAACTCCAATCTGCTAGGGAATCAACCTCAAAAGTTAATATATTTTTAAGAAAAGCTTTTTAGTTTTTGGCAGACTTTTAATGACTTATACTCTATGATTTGTTTTTGGGATACGCCAAATTCACCAAAATTAGGCCTGCTTGACCCTATCTTTCCTTATATGGTCCTTGCTAGACCTCTAGTTACATTCAATTCAAAGAAGCATCTTCTTACCACATTGGCACTTCAAGATGTTTATTTATTTTTTGTCTCTGATTACCTAGAACCTTTCTTATTACTATGGGAGCTATTTTAGCTACTGTGATGATTAATTTATTTGTCAAATTGCCTAGGCTGTGGTACTCAGTTGTTTGGTCAAACACCAATCTGGATATTACTGTGAAGGTATTTTGCAGGTGTGATTAACATTTAAATCAGTAGACACTGAGTAAAACAGATTATCCTCCATAATGTGAGTGGGTCTCCTGCAATCATTTGAAAGCTTTCAGAGAAAAGACAGGTCCCTGGAGGAAGGAGGAAGTTCTGCCTCCAGACTGCTTTAGCCTCAGGACTGCAACATCAGCTCCTGCTGGAATTTCCAGTCTGCTGGCCTCCCCTGAAAATTTCAGACTTGCAATCCCCCCACAATCACATGAGCCAATTTCTTAAATCTCTCCCTCTATGTATGAATATATCTCACACACACACACACACACACACACACACACACACACACACACTCACATGCTCTATTGATTCCACTTCTCTGGAGAATTCTGACTAATACATCTATAAGCCTTGTTAATGAAGTGGGATTATTTATGCCTACTGGGAATAAATTAGATCAATTCTAAAACAATGGGCCCATGGAGGTTGCCCACGGGCTGCCCTTCTCGTTTTGGCTCAGTAGTTAGGACGTCAGCCCACGGACTAAAGGGTCCTGGGTTTGATTCCAACCAAGGGCATGCACCTCTGTTGTAGGCTCGATCCCCAGCCCCGGCTGGTGTGAGAGCAGGAGACAACCAGATGACACGTCTCTCTCATATTGATGCTTCGTTCCCTCTCTCTCCCTTCCACTCTCTCTGAAAAAGCAACGGAAACAATATCCTCAGGTGAGGATTAAAAAAAAAAAAGAAAGAAACTGTTAAAGGGGACAACTGGTATCTGTTCTCCCCTTTCTGAGCTTCAACCAGAGAGACTTGACACTTATTTTATACATTAGAAAATGGTATAAATGGTGCTTAAAAAATTCCACTGCTAAAACGAAAACTTGGAAATTAGAGGGTTATGGCTAGGATGGGCCAATTTCTCAAAGTTTACATATGTGTGCTATCTACATGATAATTTTAATAAAAATTTTAGTGTAATTTTTGATTAATGAAGAGGTAATATCCCCAGATGTACCCAATATATTTTTTAGAGCCTACAAAGATATTTCCTCTCTGATAAGGATTTGTCAGGACAGATCTCTTTCCAGTACCTTGATTCCGTCCTGCTCGGTAGTTCTATATATAGGTGAAAAAGATAATTGCTTCCTAGGTGATTTTAATCTCTAAAATCATGAAAGGCAGGGAAATGTGTGTTTGATATACTCCCAACTTGTTTTTACAGGATTAGTGAAAATGCTAAACCAGATGTGGACACAGGATCAGGGCTCGGTGGATTCTCAGGCTGTTGGGAAGGAACTTGGGAAGGAAGGAAAAGCTGCGCCGATGCTGAGGAAGTTCTGCAGCACTGGTGGCAGGTGTGCGGTGAAGGAAAAGCCTGCGCTGTTGTGGGTTGAAGTTTTGATAACAGTGGCGGGCTTAAAGGAATTTGATCTTTCAGCTGGAATTTCGGCAGCTCTTCCAACAAAACCCTCCTCATCTTTTAGTAGTCTGTTTGGGGTTAATCCAAAGTGTACCCTGTGATGGGAATGGCCTTCCAGAAATAGCTGATAAGCTGGGCCCCGGGGACCATGACGTTTTAAGATGTCTTTGAGCCAGAAGGTCATACTGCTGGCTTTGCTGTAGATGGGGAATAGGATTTGGTGGGCAGGTAGGATCCTGAGCAGAGAGAAATTGGGGGAAGGGAGTAGAGGGAAGGAAGAGAGAAGGGAGAAAGTGAAACTTGTGCCCTTGGTTGCTGGGGCTATCTGTCTGATTCACAGAGAGCGCGTGGCTCTGGCTTGGAGTAAAAAGCCTCAGGTAGCCGTTTGGCAGTAAAAGGATTATTTTAATTCTGTCCAGTTTTGATCCTGTCCTCAATCACAGAATGCCAGTGTGCCACAGAATGACACACCAGGGTTGTACAGCAGGCCACTTTCCATTCCAGCTGTAACCACTTTCCATAGTGTGCAGGCTATAACAAGGGACTGTACACGATTCGTGTAACTATGGCCAGCAGGGGTCACCTTTAAAGTTCCTTCAGTTGAACGAGATACACCCTTATTGAAATTTAGGGAAATTTTAGTAATGTACAATTGGAAGACGTGGTTATTATTGCCTTGTTTTACACACCTCACAAGGACCATTAACTGCACAGTGAAGCTTGTAAAGGAGGTACTTTGATTCATAGACCACTTTAAATAGTCAATGTTCAGGCTTTTTGGTTTTCCCATTTTCTTCTGTCTAGCCTCATGATTTATTATTCTTTTCCATCCATGGCCCTATTTAGGATGGAACATTTTAGCCAGGAAGGAGTGGAAAGATCACTCTGTCTAACCCTCTCATTTTACTGATGCAGAGCCTGAATGATCGTCCAGGCACAGAGAGAGTCTGAACGGAGCTCTGGACCCAGACTCCTGCGCTCACAACTGCGCCACCCTGCCTATATCGTCTGTTTAAGAAGCCTCATTTCACATTTTCCAGTTCTGTTCCCAAAGCAAAACAAAGTCAGTTACTTAGACCCTGAAGTAAGAACAAATTTGAAGGGAAAAATCTCGGAGCTGCATTGCAAAGGAGGGGGTGATTTATTACTGCTAGCAGTAACACCACAGGTAGCATTCGCTGAGGGTTTGCTGTGTTGCAGGCACCGCAACAAGTGCTTTACGTGCGCAGTCTCATTTGATCCCACAACCAGCCCACGAGCGGGTCTATTATTATTCCTGACTTGCAGATTGGAAACAGGCTCGAAGGATAAGTAACGTACCCCAAACCTTCACTGGTAGAACCAAAATTTAAGCACTGGCCCTCTGACCCCAGAGCTCATGCTGTTCCCTGCTACAGGAATGGAGTAAAACCAGACAAATTCCAGTCTGGTTGCAGTGGTGACTAAAGCAAAACAATCGCTAGGAAAGGTAAATAATGAGAGGACTCCGTGGGCACCTCCTCCTGCCTTACCTCATGTTGTAAAACTATGTACATTGGAAGGGGTTGATGATTTAACGTCTTATTTTACTTTGTAAATAGATTACATAAACTAGAATTGGAAGGAACCACAGCGTTTACCTATCCTGCTTTACCAGATAAAACCTCCCTTCTTCGGGATCCCTGCTGGGAAGCCTGCAGTCTTCGTTGAAGACCAGCTTGTGAGAGAGGGTTTGCCCTTTGAGAGTCCCCTTGGTGATTGCTTGTTCTCTTATCTTGAGCCAGATGAGCCCACTTCACCTGTCCCCTTCCCCTGGTCCTGGCCCTGGCCCTGTTCTGTGAAGTAGTGGGGACCAGCCTGCAGCCTCTGCTCTCTGAGGCCCCGAAGGGACTGAAGACCACGTCTCTCCCTAGTCTCTGTCCTCATCAAGTTACACATCCCCAGAATCCCTTCTGACCTCAGTGTTTTCCAGATCCCCCACCATTTATCTGGTCACTTCTTCCAGGACATAGTCTAGCTTTCCTCCTACATCTCTTTCTGGAATACAACACAAGATAATATCTCTTCAGTGCTGAATGATGTGGGATGTATTGCTTCCTGAGTTCTCAGTATTATGCTCCTATTAACACCTAAACTAAGTTAGCTGAAAAGCAACTTAGTAATTTACTGTATACTCAGATCTATTGATTTGAACAGTATATTTAACTGTATACTCAAATCTCTTGATTTGAAGCCCAGAATTTCCTATCCTGAGACTAAATGTAGAACTTAACAGTTAATATTTATTTAAAGTGATTCTATTTTAATCATTTTGAATCTCTGTTTTTTTGTATGTATGTTAATGAATTGTATGTAATTTTCTTTTATGTTATTTATGGAAAACTTTGCACCTGATAGGGCCAAGGACAAGGACTGGGTAGGTGGTATGCCGTTAGTGAACTTTTTTCAGAACCAGTAATGAATATTCTTTCAATGTATTGTTCAGTTGGCTGTGTCTCTACCTAAGCAGTACAATAATGTTAACTTTCATCATTCTATCCACAAAAACACCATCAGAGACTTTGTCAAGTGTTTTGCACAATTTAAGACGCAGTGTGTTTAAGATAATCTGTTAATTTCCAATTTGTTTTAAAATATGGTTACAGATTACTCTATTTTTTTTTAAAAAAAATAAGCTTCCACTTTTAAGAACTATGAGTTACTTGTTCCTGCTGACTCCCAGGGGTCATTGATTTTTAAATCCTCTCAAGAATAATGGGCAGTATCTCACCACTAGGGTGGTGCCTGCAATAGCCAGGTGAAGCAGGTGGGGTTTGGAAAGGTAAAGAATGAAAGCCTACAGGTGTCAGACAAAACATGCAGGCCTATTTTTCAGAAGTGGAAACTGAAACTTTCTTAAAGTCACCTGCCCACCCACATGTACACATATATACATATATGAACATATGTACAGATATACACATATATGTGCTTTTTTTAGAGGGCGGTGACTATATGGGATGGTTTGTATCCTTCAATATAAGTTTTTGTTGAAAAATCACATTTTTATGTTAGGCCATGTGGTCATAAGTGAGATCCCTCTACCTCTGGTCCTGTGGCAGCATTTAGTGAAAAGCAAGGCATCTCAGAAGAAAAGAGCTTTCTGATGCCAAAAAGTACCCCTTCGAAGTCACAAACTTCTGGTACAAATTACAGTGGGATCAGTCCCAACGATGTTAGGAAGTTTATAATAAATTCCTTACAGCAAATAACAGTTTGCCAATAATACTTCCCAACAAAGGCTCTTCTCCATACCCGTGGGTATAAACAGTTACTCATATAACCTCCCGTACCTAATGTTCTTGAACGCTTACTCTGCGCCTGCTCAGTGCCAAGCACTCCACGCAGACGATCTTTCACCTTCTCGTGACCCTGAGGCGTGGCTGTGCCCTGCCATTCTCTTCCAGCGGAGGAGGGACTGAGGCTCTGTGGTTGTGTAGCTTGACAGAAGTGCAGCCGGCGCAGAGTCAGAGCCAGAACTCGACACCACGTCTGTCTCCTGAGGGCACGTGTGGTCGGTCAGTTCGTGCTGCCTCGTGGAATCTGGTCCTGATGTGTTGCTGGACTGTTCTCACATTTGCCTTGTTCCTCCAACCGGATGTAACCTATCTAAAATCAGATATTGTGATTCATTCACCTTGCTGTTTTCCAAAACACCTAGCATTCCAGAGCCTGAAAATAAAAAAGTACTGATTGAATTGAACGTTACCCCTGAAACTTAGAGATCCCACATCTCCAGTTCTCCCCTTTGGGGGACTCAGTGTGTGTTGCATGAATGAAAGATGGAGGAAGAACAAAGGTGTTTCTTATTCTACAGATATTTTTCAAAGGAGTAGGCTTCTTTCTGACTGTGAAAATTCAAGCGTCGCCTTATTTGAGATAAAATATATCAGCGCTGTTATTTCATTTGCTTGCTACTGTATTTTATCCCCTGTTCTTCATCTCCAGATACCTAGTTGAGAAGCATTAGTAATTTGCTATACATAGTTTCAATTATTTATGTCCTATTTTTATTTCTCATTGGGGATTTCCTATCAACCATATCTGGCCCTCCAACTTCAGGGGGTAAAAAATGATGTGTGCTTGTCTGGTACATTGCTAAATATATATTTCCTTTCTTTGAATCTGCACCGTGTGGTTTTACCACAAGTGTAAAGTAAAGGTCAAAAAGAGGCTAATTGATACAAAAAATCTTCAGGGTAAAAAAAAAATAAAATTTGTCATAACCTTAAATTTTACTTTTGATGCACAGTTGGTTTATAGTATAAGCAAACACAATCAGTGGAATAACAGTATCATAAAAAGGAGATTCAACTGGCTATTGATCATTTATTAAATTCAAGTTCACTATTCAAGTAGTTATAGCATTCTTAGATAATGATATAGAGAGTATCAGTATCATTTTAAACATTACTAACTTTGTACATATGACATTTATTCAATAGTTAACAAATATTTATTTAGCACCTACTATGTCCCAGGCATAGTGCTCTGAGGTTACACTGGTAACGAAGACAGACAGACACTGACCCTGCCCTTACGGCACCAACATTCTAGAAAGACAAAAAACAAAAAAAGTAACCAAAATGACAACGGCAAGTTGTAACAAGTGCTAAAACCAAAACCAGATGGGGCCGGGCTAAGGAATCGGTCTGCGGCGGGGCCGGGTGCCAGGGCACCGCTGTGTTAGCGAGGTTTGGCTCGGGCCCTTCTAAGGAGCAGGTATTTAACCTGGAAACTGACGGGTGAGTGGCAGACGGGCGAACGGTGTGTGCGTGCACCTCGCGGAAAGGCGGCCGCAGGTGCAAAGGCACTGAGGCGGGAAGGGCTCCGGGGCTGAGGCGCGGGGGCCTGGGGTAGCACGT